ACACACACACACACACACACACACTACCGGGTCTGGGCGCTGAAACTTTCCGAAATCACAAAAGAGTTCCCTTACCAGGTCTGTATACTTCGTGACTTTGTTCCCGGTTAGCGGGTCTGTATACTGTATACACTTCGATTTCAAAAAACTATTAAATTGCAACGGAAATGAAGTTGATATTCGTGTTCAGAGCATCAATATTTAGTAGAAAATGGACAACTGGTAGCTGAGTGTGAGACGGGAGGGAAAGTAAAAAAAATACCGGGCTATCAGATGAGGAGCAGCTAGACTGACCACAGAGTCTGACAAAGTAAAGTTCCTGACCTATACAGTAAGTTAGTCGTAAGTCTCAGCTCAAAAAGAGTGGATGGTGGAGGCTAGTTTTTGCTAAGCTAGAGATAGAGGCGATTTTGTAGTTTCGTTCGATAAAGTCAAGAGATGGGGGGTTTCAGGTTGCCCCCCTGACCTAATAAAAATATGGAGGTTGGGGGGTTCAGGGGGGCATGCCCCCCTGAATGTTTTCCTAATGTGATGTTTTAAAGTTAGGTTGCATCCCTGCTCTTTGTGCAGCCTATTTCAAAGAGTATTTGGTCATCAAGACTTCTGGGCGTGCCGACTTCTGTGGATTTCTTCTCTGGATGTAAATAAATGGGTCGTGGACTTAAACGAACGGAACTATCTACAAGATCACCGAGATAGAATTGAATACTAGATCTAAAATCTACGTACTTTCTATTCACCTTGACTGTTAAAGTCAAAACAATAATACAACAACGTCGACTCCAAAATGTGCAGAGCAACCATTGCAATCAAGCTTGGTGGAATTTTTCAACTGAAGATTTCCCGCAACGGTGCAATCGAATAAACTTTTTTCAAAGAAGAGCTTATCGGAAGCTGTACTGAAAAGGTCAAGACAACCCGGAAATAGGGGTCGCTAATCCGAAGTTTGTAGTGCCTGATTTAGGCCTGTTACTGAGAGATGGTACTCCTTCACTACTAGGGCAGTCCTTCGAAAGCGATAACAATGGCATTTTATAAGGGATTATCTTCCGGGAGATTCATTTTGGTCAACTTTGCGTTGTAATATATGCTGGAGTAATGCCTGGAGGTTTGCTAATGTTCGTTTGATAAAAAATTCTAGAAACCAGTGCAGTGCTGAAATTTTCTTTGCAGTGTCTGCTAGAGTTGGCTTTTCGGTAGATTCAGACTGTTGCTTTCACTCTGGAAGTGGACATGGAAGTGCTTCTGATTGTTCTCTTGTTAGTCCACGTCGTCTGACAGTATTTATTTTTGGTGAAGTGTGATTGATATTGGACACAGTTTATTAGATGGTATTCGTTTGGTCGCGAAACTTACCAATGACCAAAGACAATGAGAAAATGAAGTGTAGATCTATGGAATTGCATGACGAATGTGTCTGTGTAGTCCATCACATGAAGTTGTGTTTAGGTCTAAGTTGTGACTGAGTAGCATGTGTAAAGACGAAGATTTAACAGAATACAGCAAAAGAAAAGGTAGGCCAAGGGCTGTAGGGCCTATCTTTATTGGTGAGCACTGCATCCATAGTGCACAGTGTCACAATATTATATCGGACGTGATAATGTGAGAGTTTGGAACAAAGTCAGCAAAGTGCAATGTTTCTCGAATTCATCCATCTAATAAACGTGATCATGAGCATCAAATAGAGAAATAAGTAAGCCTTAGCCAGAACGAGACCTACAGAAAATTTTGTCGCCCTTAGAAATTTGAAAAAGAGGGAGGTTATCATTCTCACTGGCAAAAATGAGGCGGATGTTTAGCAAAAACAGATCTTCTCGCCGCAAAGACAAAAACTGCAACGATGGTTCAAATAGCTCCAATGTGGAAGCGGTTGGACATTCAAGTGGCTCTCTAAGCAGAGCACAAGCTGAAGCATTGTACAGCAATAATACAAGTCCAGCTCGAAGTTCCAGTACAGGACATAGTCCAAGTTACAGCGGTGCTTATGGCAATGGCTCCATGGAAAGACCCCCTCGTGGTCGTGCAATGTCTGATGGGTCACCAGCTGAATTTGCAGTTTCGTCACCATTGGACTTTCCTATGGAGCACCTACAGTCTTTCAATGCCACATACGGGCTGAATCCTTCACAAAGGACATACATTGACAGCAGATCCATACCCCGGCACACGCCCTTAAAAAGTCTCATTAGTCCCACCCACAGTCGAAGTATTAGTTCCAGCAGGGGCAATACAATTACTCAAAGCCAAAGTCATGCCAGAGCTAGCAGCACAAGTAGTCTAGGAAATTCTTTACGTGAAAGATCTTTAGAAAGAATTGAAAGGGAAAATGCGTATTTAGGTGATGCTTCTTTAGACAGACATTTTGAACAAATGCAGCTTAATATGCAAATGGACAACCGATTAAATCAGGATACAAGGTATAATACGACAGGACGTGATAGATCACTCGATCGTGAATATCCTCACATGGGTGCTAGGTCACTGGAGAGAGACCCTCATTCTGTGAGTCGATCAAGGTCCATGGATCGCGGTGGTGAATACAATTATCCATCGGCTACATTACCTACAATGCCATTGTTATCGCATCCGTCCAGTATCCCACCATCGGATCATTCAAGTCATGAATTTCGAAATTCACTTGTATTTGAGATGCAAGTGCAGATATCTGATCTTCACAAAGAGGTATGCATATAATCATGTTCTCTCTATATTAAGCATGCATTTGAAGTGCACATCTGTATTGCACATTTTCTTTTTTTTTTTCTAATCTAAGATAGTATTGTGCCTCTACTGCTAAGCCTGAAACTGTATTGGGCTCTTTGGTTGGATTATAATACAGTAGGCCTGGAAGCGATGAAGGGGTTAAAAAAGCACTCCCTGATATGAACCCGTATACTATTACTGTTATAACTATGGGCAGAACAAAATGTGTTATTAAGCAAGTAAAATTGCTGTTCAGTTCGGATGCTCAAAAAGTTTGTTTTCAAGAGAGAAAACTTCTTTAAGTGTCTCAGCTCTCGGCTGCTGTTATTTTCATTGAGCAAAATGTTTTCAAACACAGATAAATTTGAGAGTGCCGTTATACACAGAAACTTGTCATATGGAATCTCCTTCATAAATTTCTGTCTGATCAGAAAACTTAACAAGCCATTATCAACAAATTTCCTTCCCTTCAGAGTGTTTTGACAAGTTTGGTTCCCCTGACTCTAATTAACCTTAACGCCATACTGCCAGATGAGGGAGGGGAGAAGGGATGCAGTTTGGAGGTAGCTGATACCCTACCCTAGTGAGCTCTGAGTAGTGCAGATGGTCAGGGTGGTGTTGGTGTGAATTCTGACTGACTTGTCAACTTGTCTTCAAAGTGCTCAGGTGGTGTGCCAGCAGGTCACTTTTCTTGGGTCGCCAGAGGCGGGAAATTTGATCACTGCCTGCTGCCCTGATCAACTGCCAGCTGAACAAGTTCCCTGAATCGTTGTGTTACATGCAGAGGGACGTGGCATTTGTTGATTGTGCATTTTATTCATGGGTAGGGCTATGGGTGGAAACACAGTCCCAGGAGACATTATAATCTTGTCTGGTGTAATTTGGTCAAACAGTGGTCCCAATAAGATGCAGACACAGGTGACAATGGATTATATGAAGACTCATGCTTGCCATCAGAGCGGCTAGGATAGTACTTTGGAGCTGGAAATTTTAGCCAGTGTTTGCTGACGGGAGAGGCACCCCTTGATCCCATCGCATCTGGACGTCTGGAACCCCCTCCCTCTAAATTCCTCTGTCCAAGACGGAAATTGCCTTGGACATAATTTTTTTGGGGGTTCCCTTCCGATTCCATCTCCTGGACAGGTTCAATTGTTGTATGGATCAAAAGTTACTCAAGAAAACAACTTGCATCGTATGAGATGATGGATAGAAAAACCAATTTAGGCATACTCTGTTGTCTTATATTAAGAAACAAATTTACAGCAGACAATGTTAAGATTGCTGCACAATTGCAATTATGGTAGTAGAGAATGAATACCTGTTTAGGTCTGGAGAAAGGAATGGAGCAATAAGAACAGGAGAGAAAAGTCATCTATACACAGAAAAGGGATTGTAATCTATTATTTTGCTGGATATGCAGGCATGGGTATTTTAACTACCACATTTTCCCAGCAACTGATTAGGAATGGTAATTTTGCTGTAAATAGGAGCAGACCACACAAGAGTACCAAACACCTGCACTGTCAACACAGAGGTGCATATGCTCCTAAACAAAAAAAAATAAAGAGATCAAATTACTTTTGAAACATTAGGCAAAGAGTACAAGGAAGCAAAGAAAGGGAATGGTCAGGCATTTCTTGTTCAATTTTCATTCTTTGATATTGTAGAATCTAAATGATGACTTCTCAGGTAAGGTGTGGTTCTTTATTCTGACACCCCCTCCCCCATCTTTTCCCTTTCCTTTCATCCTTAACAAATATGTGTGTAAGTAGAGACTGTCTTGTCTGTGCTCTTCCATCGTGAAGAATGTTTTTCTGTTCTTTATCGTTCCCCTTTTTCCTCAGCTGCTTCTGCACTCTATTTTCTGAAGTCCCCCTTTCTCTTTTCTTCTTTTCTGAAATCTCACCAAATCATTTTCTGTAAATTGTCTCGTATATTATGTCTTTCTTTTTGAGATTGCTATACCAGGATTATTTTCCTCTGTCTCTGATTTTACTCTCAAGACTTCTCCATTGTTGGCGTTGTCCAATTTCCACAACTTTTCACTTTGTTTAATGTGGCTCATTTCCATACTATGGCAGACTTTTGAGGCCATGCCTGCTTCTCTTTTTGTGTGTATACAGTGATTAATCTAATCTGCCTGAAAATCTTCCGGGCTAAACATCTCTTAGTATAGGCTAATAATTGATTAAAATAATTTGAAATACTTACTTTAATATATTTAAGGCCTATTATCATATGTTGTTTTCACTTCTTCAGGTCAGTAAACTTCAGAAAGATTTGGATCACTCCAGGGAGAAACTGTCATCAAGTATGAATTCAATAAAAACATTTTGGTCTCCGGAGTTGAAGAAAGAGAGAGCAGTTAGAAAAGAAGAGGCTGCGCGCTGCAATTTGCTAAATGAACAGCTAAAAGTGGCTGAAGCAGAACTAAGGGTGAGTTTATTATATCTTTGGTTCTTTTTCGGCTTTCGTTTGTTAATCTTTGCAATTGATGAGATGTATTTTTGTGCTGAGTTAAAAGGCTACAGTTTGTGCCACATAAAGTTGTGAGATATAATTAATTATGCCTTTTTATTCAGTTGTTAGAGCAGTAAATAACTCTTATTGTTTTGCCCATGTTTTCCTTCAACCTCTCAATATAGTTTTATTGTTTGACATCAAAAGGTAGGTTTTCCCAAATATATGTTATCTAAATCTAATAGCTACTATTTGTCTGTCTGATATCAGCTTCTAAGGCTCAGGTGTTCTACTTTACACAATAGAACACTATTTTATTATCAGTATGCTGAGAATGCTTATCAACCCCCCTCCCTTTCCCGCCTGTCCTTAAAAAGAATCCCTGTGCAGACTCTAATCTGGGGATTCAGTGTATAAGTTTTCTGTGACACCTTGGAGCAAATGAAGTTGTTTGCAGTGTGTAGTTAGATCAAGAAGAATCTTTTTTTTAAATCTGTTCTTCTGTTCGCTTTGAGTTAGCGTGTATTGAAGGATTTCTAAGGTAAGGCATTTTACAAGAATTTTCCCTCTTGGCTTGGTGGCATTGGAGATGGAGGTTAAATTCAGAGGTACTACATCTTAATCTGACAGTGTTGCAAAGCATGGTGTCAGACTTCAGTCTCTTAAATGAATGTGTTCCTATTGGCAATGGACTTATTTTTTAAGAAAAGCAGTACTGTAATTTTTGTCTTTAGGTTAGGAGGTTGGAGTGTGTTTAATCACAGAAATACCAGTTTTAAGGTACCATCTGCTATTCCCATGTGTCTTATTGCGCACTTAAAGGCATCAGACTTGAGAAGCATAGTTTCATGAAATCACAGCAGATAGACATCATAATTTGTGCTTTCCTTGACCCCCTACTAACCCTGTGTCTTGGGAAATAAATGTTAGCCGCCTGCTACCCGCTGTATGCACACCAAGTTTATTTTAAATTTCTCTTTCTTTCTTTAAAATACTCGCTTCAACCAAATATGTCCCCCCCCCCC